AGTCTATAAAATTTGCTGAGTTATGAGCTTACGAAAACACATCCTCATGAATTTTGCCCAAAATGTAAAGATCGCAAATTTCGTCGAAATTCCACCGTGAGCGCCTGTACAACACACTAATTGAAATCTTTTCACGTCCTTAATGGATCTTATTGTGTTAGATTTCTAGTTTGAGTTCTAGCCACCGAAATAGCTTTGATATTCAACTGAGCAGCTGAGGCATACGCAAGTACCATATTCAATATAGTGGGAGCCTTTGGGCGAAGCAAACGCAATATCCGCAATGCGAGTGTCATACAAGCACTCACGGTGGAATTTCGACGAAATATGCGATCTTTACATTTTGAGCAAAATTCATGAGGATGTGTTTTCGTAGGCTCGTAACTCGGCGATTTTTATAGAATGGAGCCTGAGTCATGCACCATTCGGTAGCATAGTTCCTAGTAACCTTTACTGAGACAAGCAAGCAGGCAATGTTGCTGACAGATACGCGAGAAATGTGGGCAAAGTTACGCACTTTCGTGGTTCAGTTACAGTCACCTCACCGTATCTCACCAAAGAGACCCTGTAATCCTCAAAGACCTTGATTTTCGTAAATAGCGTGTTCGAAAACCTCTACAAGCGAAGTTTTCTTACAATCTAAGAGCATGAACATTTTGACCAAAATCCATCGGCCAGCTTCAGAGCGTATAACGAGAAAAAATAAAATTACTCGAACATCTTGGAAAACTTGCTCATAAGGGTTATCCGACCTGCTGATTACGAAAATCACATCTGCTTAGCAAGAGATTCATATTTTAGAGTTACGTTGAGAAAAATTTGGAAGGACATAATTTTTCCAAAATTCACCAGCCCTTCTAACTCCTTTGGAAAGAAGCGTGCGGCTAATTTCTAGCGCCCCATAATCTACAGAAGAAGTACTATCGAAAATTTCTTTCTGAATCTACTGGCGGCAATACGTGCTGCTTCACACCTTTGCGAATAGACGCCCGCAGAAAGTTTTGAGAATACTGGAATCGAGAAATCAAGGACATTCTGCATACCGAAAGATTTGCCTTGATGAGCTGAGCACAATGCATTTTTCGGATTCAGAAAATATTTACTCCAAAGAAAGTTACGGAGAGTAGAATCTGGAAACGAGTGATTTTTCCAGAATTTACCACCGCTTTTTTCTCTTTTGAAAAGAAGTCTGCGACAGCTTTCTAGCGCACTATAATGTACAAGAAAAGCACTATCGAATGTTGCTTACTGGAAGCTTTCATGTTGAATAGGCGCTGCGTTACATACTTGCAGAGGGACCTCCTCAGAACAATTGAAAACTGGAAACAAGATATAGATGATATGACGTATGTCGAAATCGCCTTGACGAGCTGAACACAATGCTACTTTCGGATTCAGAATATATTTATTCCGAAGGAAGTTATGGCGCTGCATATTTTGCGATATTCCGGAATCGCGAAATTTCTGGAATTTCGCGAAATTCCCGTTCTGTGAGTGGTATTGTACATTGCAAAGCACGCGCGGCATTCCGCGATATGTGCTTCTCATGCGATTTCCAACTATTTCCCTTTGTCTTCCTGCATTTTGGGACCCGTCATACTTCGCCGAGAAAAGCCCAGTTTCACACATATCCATGCAGAATGAGCTCTGAAACTATACCTGCCCTATTTCTGCAGTGCTCAACAGAATGTGTATGTAGCCTCTGGAATCAGCACACTGAATGATCCATTTACACTAAAATTCCAGGAAAAAAACTTACATCCCACAAATAGGCACATCTGTATACTGGAAGATGCGCCTCGCCGAGCTGAGTTGAATGGTACTCTCATATATAGAATTCATAAATTTTGGATCAAGATAAGGTCTTTTTTATAAGAAAGTTAGGCGTTGCGCGGCAAAGTTAGGCGGCAAATGCCGCTTTGACTTTTGTCGCGCGACGCGGCGTTTGCCTAACTGCGGCGGCGCCGCGTGAGTTAAGTGCCGCCGCCATTTTTTTTTCACAAATTACGGGTGGTCTTGTATAAAGAATACCGCAAGGGCATACTCTCGACTCGTCTTTTTCTAATTTACACAGAGCAGAATTGCTCACACTTCTCACGACTCATTGAACTCAAAACTCAGATGTTCGCGGACGATACAAAAATCAATTTTTGCTAAACTGCAAGCCAAATGAAATATTTAGAGCAATTTCTTTCTCGATACAAATGATGATTTTTGGTGCGAAAAATGGAACCTTTCCGAAAATGCTCAGAAATCCAAAATGATGGACATTATTAGCTCCCAATCTCCAACGTATATTGACGATATACGACTTGAACGATATTCCGCTACAAGGGGTCGCAGTCCTAGTGTATGATTGGAATACTCACAATGTTACTGCTCAGTTAGCTCAGTTAGCAAAAAAGCTTTGTCAAGCCTTTTTCTGATTTTACGAGATATCCACTGTAGTGACGCATCATTGTTGGTTAGTCCGTATAAGACATATGTTCTGCCACACTTAAGATATGCCTTTAAGGTATGAAATACCATACTTTGAGATTTATAGTTACTCGAAAAAATGCAGAAAACCTTTACACAAATAATTTTTTACGGGCTATACCACCGTACAGTTCAAGACTGTCTGCTCTGAATACGCAAAGCTTAAAGAAAAGGAATTTTTCAACAACCTAGTGTTTTCTTTCGCGTAAATGCTTAGTGACCGTATTGAGGCCGAGCAGATACTGGATTTTTGGACAACACATACTCGAGCAGGTGGGTTAACACGCGCTGTCGGATACTTTAATGTATAATTTTTTTTCGTATCTAATTCATCTGTTTCGAACATTAAGGTGGCTCAATCTTCTACCGGAGGAGACTACTTTCAGCAGTAACTCATCTTTTCCGCAAAAAGTTAGCCCAAAGAGTTAGTTAGTTTGCTGTTTTACGAGCCTTGTGTGTATTCCAAAGGTATCACTCCTTACACAGATGTCCCTGACCAGCTTTGCCGTGTCGGTACCAGATTCTTGCCTCGCTTCAGCTTGTATCAACCCATAAACGTCTAGTGACCTCGTTACTCTCTCAAAAAATCTTTCCATGTTAATGCCTTAATTTTTGTATTCTTGTTGTTGCTGTACATCCTTGAGGAGCCTCCTTCGAGATTTTTCTTACATTCTCTTACCTGAACGGGAATAGCCGTTCAAAGATTTCGAGGTCTGGTGACTCTTCTATATATTGAGATCCTCCTTGACCGTTTGCTCAGGGTCTCGAACGGATTCGTTCGTTTTAGTTGAGTTGGCCACTCAACCCTGGTATACTATTGCTTCACATGCGTCTGGATCAGGGATAGGAGATGGATTGAAGACACACCCTCATATTAGGAGAACAACCTGACTACCCAGAGGAGACTGTAATCATTTCAAAGCGGAAATTGCGTATATGTATGCCTAACTTTTTTGCTGAACTGTTAAAACGAAAAATTTGCCATGCAGTTGAGAAAATGCAAAAGAATACTGCATGAGCTTGAAATGGATTTGACGGTGCGGCGCTCTGCCGCAACCGGCAAGCCCTAGTGCAAATTCGAAATCGTCCACAAGGCGTCTAGTGGGGGGAAGGTGGCTATACAGCCGAGCATATTGGATGAGCCACAAACTCAATAGCAAAATTGGAAATAAGCTTGGTAAGAATATATAAGGCAGTCTCCTTAAGCAACCTTATGCACCGAATGTTACCAAAATTCCAAAAAACTGAAAACTCCGATAAAGCTAAATTTGTGGCAGGTAAACGCAATGTAATAGAGGTTCTAACGATTATTCGAGCGTTTATCAAGGACCTCGGAACTGCAACATCACCTCAAAAGAGGATTTTCTGCATCAAACAATGCTTAGAACATTAGTCTACCATTACTCCAAACGAATTTAGGATGGGTCTGTAAAACGGTTGAACTTTTGGACTGACACATATTGACCATGATGAAAGTCATAACAAAAAAGACAGAAAGTCTGCGATTTTGGGCGAATCAGACTAACAAGGAAAGGATACTCGTCACCGTGGCCATTTGGAATGCGATATATACTGTAAGATGCATCTCAGAACGCTAATCTCACATCTGTGCTCGATATCTGCGAAACGATCTTCTGAATAAACTTTTTTTCGTGGGAAATTTGCGTACTTTTGTGTAGTGAAAATCACCAAATTTGTTCCAAGTTACCATTTGAAGCTATTGAAGAGAATCTTAAGAGGAATATTGTTGTATATACTTATCTAAATCATATTTAGCATTTGAAAAGAAAGGAAAATTTTTTATTGATGATTTCGACCCTTCGCAGGACGCTGTTTGTTCATGGAAAAACAACCACTACTCCATCCAGATTATCGTTTCGCAGATACGGAAGACAGTATACGATCCAGTATTAAAGGCACATTTTTTGATATACAAATCATTATGAATGGCCGCGGTGACCAAGTATGCTTTTCTTGTAAGCTTTCCGCTAACACTACGGCAACTTTGGAGCTTCCCTGTAAGATCAAAATCTACATTTTTCTGGAGTAAAGAAGGTTTTTAAAAGATTGTAGGAAAGATTAAAATATATGGACCAATCAAAAGACTCAAAACGTGTCCAGAAGCAGGTGTTTCTGACCAATCTTGGATCAGTGATTCACGAGACCATATTTTTTTTTAACCATAACCTTTGTACAACGAGTTTATTTCACAATGGTGAATCTCTAGTCACTGCATAAACTTTCAATATATACGAATGTGCAAATGTTTTTTTTCAATAGCAATTTTTGCAACATTCAATCTTTCGCAATGCGCTCACAAAACGATATATGAGCTCCGAGCAAATTACAATGAGAATGATTGCGTTATCTATGCAGCCGGCCCCCGTTATCTTCTAATGCAACAAAACTTTTGATAAAAACGCAATTACCGCTGACATTCTCAGTCATATCCTTCCAAAACTTTTCCGAAAGTCTAAAAGTGGCTTTTTTCTCATGCTATGTCGATTTCTTCGATGTCAACGATGAACGGCAATGAGCTGAGACCATTGCGACGACAAAGGTATGGATATCTACACTATGATCGTAAATAATGTTAAAAGTATGAAGATTTGTCATAGCCGGTAATTAGTTGAACTCTGAAGCAAAAAAAAATTACGTAACGAAACATCTCCCTGATGTTGCGATCTACGGTAACGATCTAACCAATCGAATTTGTCATCGTAAAATGATCATGCTATTTCACTGGATTTTCTTCCAAAAAATGCTTCATTCTCTTTGCAGGTAAGTTTATTACCATATCAGTTCCATTCAATTAACAAACAATCTTTATAGCAACTGATCAGTCTTGGCTAAAGCATTAAATGTAGCTTGCATTTCACGAAATGATTAACGCATACTTTTATGTCATATATTGGCAAATACTTGAATGGCGAGTTTTGAAAAACCTTGTAAGCATTACTCAGAAATCTTGAACATGCATAGAAAAGCCTTAAAATTTAGCTTTTTATCTTTTCAAGCTTTGCCGATCAAGTTCTGCAGTGCATTAAAATGATATGGATAGTGAGAGTCAGCATTCTTCCTTTTTTTTGCGAAGCTTTGTTTAAAAAATTTTTTTGAGAAAAATTGCTTCCAAAAAGTACAGCAGAATTTTTTTCTTGTTTCGAAAGACGCGTAAGTTAAGCTTACTACCCATTGAACTAACATCATGACTTTTTCTTTGCCGTTATCTTATTTTGTAAATTACAGGGAGCCGACAATACAAGAATTATTTGCTCCACGTATCAGAGAACGCGACTCAATATCACCTGACCAAGCTCTCATACACATGATCAAAGTAGGTCATTGAACTGTTTTGCAAATGTATGACGCGTAGGGGCCAAGAGAGGCAATTAAGCATTGAACATCGCTTTTACAGCTCAGCAAAAAAAATTGTGGAAGAGAATTTTCGGAATCACTATTGTGGTGAAAGCTTGGAAGAAAAACGTTTTAAGAGTAGATTTTTCGAATTTTTCTGGAACTCTCCAATCTAAAGCTGCAGTCTTCTTTTCGAATTTTTATAAAAACATGAAGCATTTAGGTGATGATGGGTACAGGAATGTTATCATTGCCACTAGCATTCAAACACTCTGGACTTTGGGTGAGTGTCCAATGGATTTATCCAAAGTTTTGGTCACCTTTTTAGCTGGGCTTAGTACTCCTGGCCGGAATTTGTTTGATATGCATATTTTGTACACGACAACTCGTCTTTGCTCAACACTACATCGGTTTCATGTGGGTTATACCATTTTTAGCACTAAGCTCGAATACTGTTTCGATTCAGAAAGCTGCAACCACGGTTAGATTACGCAAATGTTATGAGATCAGCTGTAGAGCTTGGGCCACCTTGGATAAGAGATCATGGATATTTTTGGAAGTAGGTTTGCTACCTGTATTGTGACCTTCAATTTTTGATTATGTTGTTGTTTTTTCAGGCAAGTGGTCAATGTAAACATGTTTTTGGCACAATTTGGATTCTGTTGCGTGTACTTTGTATTCATGGCTGACAATCTGAAGCAGGTGAGCTTTAGCAATCGGTTTGCGCTTTATAAAAGGCAAAAGACAATTTTTCTACATTAATTTGGAAACAAATAGAACTAGCCGACTAAACATTGATGATGCAATATTTGAGCGACAATGCTTTTGCTTCAATTCATCAATCTTTTGTGAAGTTTGAATTACTGAAAATTTGTAAGTGCTAAAGTATTCTCCATTCTTTGCAAAATCCAAGTGTTCGCGCAATAATACAGTGCAACAAAAACTATTTTTTGCATGCAATTTTCTGTGTAGTTAGAACTTGATCTTTACTCTTTCCTGTTGAATGGCAAAAGGGCATCGACTTTGCTCCATTTTCATTGAAACATGTGATCGAGGGCAAGAGCTATGGATGAAATTGATGTTAGTACCAAACTTAGCACACGAATAACTTTTATTGTAATGCTAGTCAGCATGTCCGCAACAATCTACCATTAGATAATGAGAAGCGAAAGTGCGCGATAAGCGAGAGCATCTGTTGCGAACTAATTGATGAAAAAATAAAGTGTATCAAAATTTTGCCACATGTTAGGGACCGAAATTTAATGTTGACTACAAGAGTTTAATTTTCTTTTCTTTTCCAGTTTTTCGACCAAACGTCGAATATCCACATTTCTCAAGCAGGATGGATTGCTCTGTTACTTGTACCACTCATGGCATTGTGCACGATTCGCGAGCTGAAGGTAAGAGAGGCTGAAATTATCTATGTTTTGGTTTTAAAAATTCTTAGAATCTAAAATAACAGTTCAGATAAAGGAAAGGGCAAGAGGCCTATCAAAACGTTTCCGTTTATTATACAACAATTTATAATCCAAATCATTGCACCTTTACATTATAGCGGGCTAAAATCATCAAGAAACAGATAATAGAAAAATAAAAAAAACAAATAGAAAAACGAGTGTTAGTGTTATGGGCAATTACTGTAATTTCCAGAGATGCTTGCACAATGGCAGTGGCGGACCGAGGGAGGGGGGGGGGCCCCTAGTATGGGTCGCGAAATCTTTGAAACTTACCTATATGGGTTATAAAAATGTACACACGACTTGTTTATTTTTGTAATTAATTGAAATAATTTTTAAAATTGTTTAAAAATTCAAATTAGCTTATAAAAAAATTTTCGGGGGGCATGGCTGAGCCACGCACTTTCATTAAAAAAACATTTTTGTCGCCCTCCCCCCCCCCCCCCCCGGTCCGAAATCCTGGGACCGCCACCGCACAATGGCTATACTAGGTCATCTTTAAGAACACGCAGACTTCTTCCGTGTTGTTTTGATTTTCAAAGAAAACTAGAAGAGAAGCTAGCTAGAAGAAAACCGTTACAAAAACAGATAATCTTGTACAGCTTATATTAACATTTCTATCATTTCTTCTTTTCCGCTTCCAGCAGAAATTTCTCAAAACTTATCAATCTTGAAGGCCTAATTATCGACTTGATAAAGCCGCTAATATCTTACAGTAACCTTAATGTTAGAGCGGTATGAATAAAACAGCTAATTCGAGTTAAATTTGTGGCACTAAGTACATTGAAGAGTTCACGCGAAGCGCGTTGCACAATGCTATTGTATGACTCACTTCTTTACTTCCGTTTTAAGGTCATTTTGGCTCATTAGCAAAATTAGCTTAGCTTTTTGCTACATTTCATTAGTACACTCAAAAAGGCTCATCTGTTGAAACTTTTTGCTTTGACTGTACTACATTAGCGACAAACTTATGAAAATCTCACTCTCCTAGCTTCACAAAATTTGAATTGACGCCCGAAAGTGATCAACCATGAAAATGATGAGTCAAATGCATAATCTCAAAAGTTGTGTAACGCATGAATACAATCAACGTTGTTCCTTAGGCCTTGGCTCCACTAGCGGCAATAGCCAACGTGGTTTATCTGATTGCTGTGTGCATCGTTCTCGAACAATTGTTCCAAATTGAACGTCCAAGCTGGTCTTTACCAGCAGCTGCTGATTGGTCTACACTACCCTTGTTCTTCGGCACTGTCATGTTCGCATTTGAAGGAGTAGCAGTGGTAGATTTACAAAAAAAAACTAGATTTTCATTGGCTATAGAAAGGAACTATTTAGGTTCTTCCAATAGAAAATCAGATGGATGAACCGCTACATTTTATCACAAATAATGGCGTACTAAACACTTCATGCTTCCTCGTATTGATACTGTACATGACAGTAGGGTGAGCTGCTTGGATTTATTCTGCATTAAAAAAACAAGCTTATCCACATTTTGTAGATTTTTCGGATACTTACGATTTGGTAACGAGATCATGGACACACTAACGCTGAATTTGCCGCAAACGAAGTAAGTCAGAGACTTTTGTGATCAACTTTTGCAGTTCTCAGTCGCCAATGAAGTTCATAGAACGTACAAGTATTCAACCTAGTCTGCATTACTGTACTTCACGCAAGCGATTCTCTTTCGTTTTCTAGTAGTACGCATCTGAACTAATTTTGATTCTAATTTTAACTAACCATCTGAACTAATTTTCGAAATCAGTTCAGGCGACACCAGAGACGAGGTATGATGGCATTGTACGCCGTCACAACATCATCATTCTAATCACTGTTGTAAATTGGCGTGGAAAAAGAACCTTAAATTCATGAAAGGGCTTCTCTAGTACATCTGCCATAAAAAGTCACTGTGTAAATCTGAAATTTGAATTGCCTGCTCATAAAAACGGACACTGTCCATTCAGTATGGATCTAATGTACAGCTGACGGTCAAAGAATTTCGTTCTAGGGAAGGGGGCCAACATAGATTTTTGTCAAGTGTAGGGATGTGGTCTTACAAGGGAAGGATACTCGGTCATCGTGGCCATTCGTAATGATTTGTGTATAAGAAAATACGCCTTTCAATGCTAATTCGAATGCTGTCTTCCATATCTGCGAAACGATAACCTGTATGGAGTTATGACTATTTTGCATGAATAAATTGCGCTACTGCGGAGGGTCAAAATGATCAATAAGAAATTCTTTCCTTTCCAAATGCTGAATATGATTTATATAGGTATACTACATCAGTATTCTTCTTAAGATTTTCTTCAATAGCTTCAAACGGTAACCTAGAAAAAATTTTGTTATTCTAACTACCCAAAAATACGCAAATTTTTAACGAAAAAAAGTTCATAACTTTCTTCAGGAGATCGTTTCGCAGATATCGAGCACAGATTTAAAATCAGCGTTTCGAGATGTATCTTACCGTATACATCGTACTCCAAATGGCCACGGTCACCGAGCATCCATTCCTTGTTAGTTACGCCTTCTCGACATACCTTCGATAGTCTAGCGACAGGGGTCAAAAGTGAAGTTTGTTTAAACATCTGCCCTCCTATAACATGAAGGTTGTTTAGAAGATTAAAGAAGAAAAAATGACGCAAAATAGATATGAAAAGCAAAGGAAACTGCTAAAAATCGGATGAAAAGGGGTAGGGGAACGAAAGCCGCCAGTTTGAGCCGCCTTTCGCGGCTAACTGGACCTTTCGCAACGTTGTTGTGTCGTTCTAGGATCAGCAGTCCGCGCAAGCGACCGAAGCTGGCGGCTTTCGTTCCCCTACCCGATGAAAAGGCTGCAGAGAGGTTTGAAATATTTTACCTGGCGGCTGTGCAGGTTTTCGCTCCAGGACCAGCAAATCGCAACACAGGGGAGAACGAGGAAAAGCTGAATTTCTTTCTTGTGATTGTTCAAAAAATCATGTTTCGGAAGTAGTGCTTCAAGAAGAAGATAAACAAGAAAGAAATTAGTCATGAAAACGCAAAGCTTTTTTTACTGAGTCGAAATGCACGTCAACACCAAGCTTAGTTTTGGATGTCCTCTAAATCTTCACCTCCGTATTGCGTTCCTGTTCCCTGGATTGTTGCGCTTATTCTTTTGTGCAAATTGCCCATGCTTGAAAAATCGCTGCGTAAGCAGTGAAATAGAACAGGGTAAAGAAAAACGCACTCTTTAAGATTTTTCACAGAAAATTCCGCCATAATCGAAGAGATAAGCACTGGGTCGTTGTCTGCATTATGAACAAAAGCAAGATCTGCAGAATGTGGGAAAAAACGCGTGAAAAGATTTAAACTGGGGGAAAGCAAGAGATTGTCAAGAACAAGGTTTTTGCCGGATTTCACGTTCGAATCAAAAAATGTGGTTTGGGACGTTCTCAGCGTGAAAGTAGAGATCAAGAACTTTGAAATGATATGTAGCTTGTTAAAATTGGGCTCGAAACAGCGAAGAAAAGGGTACCAGAGCCAAATGCCCCGCGCCCGCGTTTGAGGTAGCGAGGTAGCGCGCGGCGAGCGGAGACGCAGACGGACAGCGGGACCAGACCAGAGCCGACGGGGCATTTGGCTCTGGTCGTGGATCTCCGCGGGGTCTCAACGAAACCCTGCAAAAATATACAGTGCTGGACAAAAGTATAGGTCCACTCTAAAATGTGCCATAACTCACCCTGTTGTCAATAAAATGTTCCAAAATTTGGTACAGCCGTGTGTTTGCCAGCATACTATCAGTCCCCAAAATGGGTCTCATTTTCGTTCGGTCACTCAAAAAAATGGAAATTTTGAAAGCAGGCTCAAAGGCTGGACAAAATTACAGGTCCACATGGAGTTTTCACTGATTAACACGTTTCGGACCGCGAAATTGCGCGCAGCGAAAAAGAGTGTACTTTTAGCCGTTAGCCTACAAAGGGACCTTAATTCGCAGCCTATGGGCCACATTTGTAATCAGCATGTCAGATAAGCTCCATATCCAAAGTTCTGAGTAAATCGAAGTGTTTGAATTTTGTCGCTTGAGAGGGACTTTTGTGCTTTCTTGAAAGATAGGAACAAGAACTCAGATTCTAATAGTATTCAAAAGTATCTATGTTGGACACGGTACAAATCAGTATCAAAACTACGGTTTTTCTCCTCGATATCAAAGCAAAGGAAAGTTGCGACGTCGCACGCGTCGTTCGCGCCGCCGCACTTCGTTGCAACTGTTGTTCGATTTGTGCTCATATCTCCTAAACAAATATTGGCGGCACAACTATACAGAGTCATTTGAAAAGTAGGAGGTTAGACCTTTAACTTAACAACTTCAGACTAAAAGGAAACCTTCTGCAAACGCCAGGATCCTCAAAGCAGCGTGCTGCACCATGTGCAGCACCGGTCCGAAACGTGTTAAAGCGCTTCTTAGCTCCCGAATTTTTTTAGGTAGGCACACATCTAAAAACGTTGAACAGCTGCTTTAGTCAAGCTTTGTCATACCTCCAAAAAGAACTGATTATCTGCTTTTTTGCCTTGAAAATGCTTTCACTTGTATTTCGCTCAGCAAACCTGCGTTGAGTGAGAGATTCTGCAGTTTCTCAGCTAGATCGGAAGCGACGGGGTTTCGTCTACCTTCTGGATGCTTTTTGACGTGAGCATTGCGGAAAAAATCTGACTTTTTGCTACTGAAGCAAATCCGACATCGACTCAATCGGGAGAGAAAGCCACAATTTCTGCCCTAAAACCCTTTATGCATTGTCATTATAATCTCAAGATATTGTAGAAGCATTCTTTACACAAGAATAAAGCTGTTCGCCAAACTCGCAAGTGTCCACAAAGCTGCCTTGCTTCTTTTTCGAAACATGAACGTAATTATGATTTTACGAAGATCCAAAATAGCTTGCCAAGTGCTACCTCGCTTAGATTTTTGACAGTAATTATATCCTAGATAGTGGATACAACTTGCAGTGTATGTTAGCACATGATTCTTCTGAAAATCTTTGTTGGAGCCACAAATAGCTTTGGTGCTTGTCGTAATCAGTTTCTGTAGGGCGATTTCAGTAATTATACTCGAATGCTAGGATCTCTAGAAAGTTGTAACCATGGGATACGGACTCCCCGTCGTAGAAATAATGCCTTTACTTTACTTGATGCTTCTGAGAACCTTGTTAAAGAGTTTGAAGGCAGAAATTTGAGCTCAGGACTGCAGTATTGTCAATGTCGGATTTGCTTCAACAGCAAAAAGTCGGATTTTTTCCTCAATGCCCACGTCAAAAAGCATCCAGAAGGTAGATAAAATCCCGTCCCTTCCGATCCAGCTGAGAAACTGCAGAATTTCTTACTCAACGCAGGTTTGCTGAGCGAAATACAAGTGAAAGCATTTTCAAGGCAAAAAAGAAGATAATCAGTTCTTTTTGGAGGTATGACAGAGCTTGACTAAGCAGCTGTTTAGCGTTTTTAGATGTGTGCCTACCTAAAAAAATTCGGGAGCTAAGAAGTGCTCTAATCAGTGAAAACTCCAGGTGGACCTTTAATTTTGTCCAGCTTTCAAGCCTGCTTTTTTCAAAATTTTCATTTTTTTGAACGGCCGAACGAAAACGAGACCCATTTTGGGGACTGATAGTATGCTGGCAAACACACGGCTGTACCAAATTTTGGAACATTTTGTTGACAACAGAGTGAGTATGGCACTTTAAGAGTGGACCTATAATTTTGCACAGCACTATATCCTTCTGATCGTCATGACACGACGAGGAGCACTGACGACGTCCCAAGTGTTGAAAATCACTCATTAAACAGACAGACCAGCATTTTCGTGCGCGACTTTCTGCGCAAGATTTAAGCGCAGTTTCTCGTTTTTATTTAACTCCAACAGCTTTCCTAAACTTCTGAAACTCAACTTTGGTCTAAGAGTTGTCAGCTGAGAAAAATTGTTTGAATCCTGAGGAGCTTACACAGAAACCTTCTTTTTAACGTAAAAAAGGCTACAAAAACGCAAATTCTCGGTTTCGCTGAGAAAATTCAAAAATATTTCCTATATTTGCTTCATGCACGTTCGTTCCGATAGTCAGGAATATAACATCCGGAGCTTCGCCGCAAATGACTTGTGTTTTTTTCAGGTGCAGGTTGTGTCCTCTATGGCCCCCAAAGTGAAGGTTATCAGAGTACAAGCTTTATGTATTGAGGGTATGCTTCTCGAGCACATATTTTAAACGGTCAAAACTTTTTAGTGGGTCTATAACCTGAAAAATTTTGAAATGCTTTCGAAGATTTGGAATGAGATTGTTTTAAGAGTGTTTTCGCATATTTTGACAAGCACCAAACCATTGATTGAGTCTTATAGACGAATTCAATCGTATCCGGTACAGTTCTACAAGATATGATTTTAAGTCAGATTTTCTCTGCAACTGGCTGCCGCTACCAAGCTGAACTCAAAACTATTATGAGAAACTTTTGTTGCAGAATTTTACACAGTTTTAAGTATTAAATAATGTGCAAATAGAGCACACCAAGCAATCATACTTCTGAACCAGCTTTAAGTGCGTGAAGATGTTTCTCTTTTGGTATTTAGGCTAAACTTCTTGAATTCTTTTCCTAATTCTGCAAAAAGTTTCCAGAAATAGTTGAAGTCAACATCAAGTCAGCGACTTTGCTATACCTCAAAAAACCACATTTTGAAAGCAAATAAAACTCAAACCGCACAGTAGAATTTTGATAATTAGGCGTCAACTGATTCAAAACTAGAAAGTGTGAAGTCTTAAAGGCGCCGTCCACCCAAATTTTCAAACTCTATGTTTTTGCTGTTCCAGGGCCTTCTCATACCCCTTTACCGAATATCAAGTCGAAAATCCGCGAAAACCACGAAAAAGCCCCGTTTTCAAAACCCGCAGAGGGATTTCTTCGGAACGGTGATTGGTTGGGCGCACACGAATGGGCGGGGCGAACGTACGCCCACTCAAAAGGGAGGAGCCAACGTGGCGAAACTGTCATTCGAGCCATTTTCGAAGCAATTTTCTCGCTTTGGAAGCAATTAATGCCAGCGCGAGTTGGATGAGTATACGGTTGGGGGCCCCACTACTGTTTAGCATCAAAATCTCATCGATCCCATTTTGGGTGGATGGTGTTTCAAGAATCGCGATCCCAGAGAGTGGGGGAAAGGATAGAGGGTGGAGTTCCCCTATCCGTTTGGGAAAGGAATTCCTTTTCCCTTTCCCCTTTCCTCAATCTGCCTAAACACAGATGAACTGATTGTGTTCTATCCCCTCTCCTCGTTCCGCCACTGGTGCACAGATGAATCGACAGTAATTAGATCCTGAATTACTGTATCATTAAGCTAATTTTAGACTTTCAGTTTCTACCAAGTAATAAAATTGATGTTCGTTGCCTGTATACTCGTCTCCTATCCTTTACAATTTTACGTGCCGCTACAACGAATTGAGAAGTGGATAAAGCGCAAGGTATTGCTGTGCACTTTGCATTTGCTCGTGCTCCGTACCAGCTGTATGTGTGTGAACTTCGCAAACTTTTTGTATCTCAGGTAGCTGTAGAGCGTCAGGAAAAACTCATTTATGGTGCACGAATGGCTGGTGTTATCTGCACTTGTGAGTTGACAGCTTTGTGCGGGGAAATTTCCATGATGAAATATATTTTTAGGCCTTGTTGCTGAACTCATTCCGCATTTGGCGCTATTCATCTCATTAGTCGGTTCCGTAGCCGGCACCTCGCTAACGTTAGTGTTCCCGCCAATGATTGAATTGCTGTGCTATTACTCGAAGTGCGTTTGTACTACTCCGATGCATACAACATTTTGTTTCCATTTAGAGACTCCCTCACACCATGGATTTGGATACGAAACATCTCCTTGATGTTATTCGCCGTATTCGGATTTGCCACCGGCACATACGCCAGTGTTGTGCAGATCGTCGAAGCCTTTGGCAAACCTGATGTCTGATCCAACAAAGAAATACGCTCCTGGCTGATTTGCAAAATGTACATATTAAATACTTACAGTTGTGTAATCTCTGCGTGATAGCCTGGTCGTTGATTTAGGAAAATCAACGACTAGGCTATTACACAGAGATTACACCTAAGCTTTGTTATGTTGTCTCTCTGTTTTGTTGAATAAAAAAAATTGCAGTTACTGTATACCTGTCCATCAGCTAGCTCATCCATCTTCTTCGCAAAGATTGCAGAGAAGAGGCAAGGGTTGACCGATATCCTGTTACATCACAGTGTTCATACCAACCTCATAACTTTTTTTCCTTCTTAATAACCTTTTTGTGAAAAGTTAGAGCTCACTATTTGTTAATCCAGGGTATCCTTCTCGGGCTCGAGACGGGGTAACTCCGGCTTTGGATTGAAATTTGCGTTGATTTCGCAACAAAAGTACCACATTTTCCGTGGTACGCTTATGAAAGAATCAAATATGAATAACAAAAAAATATAACAGCATACATAAACGACTTTAAACGGTAAAACAGGATAGATACATAAACGATTTCAAACAGCCGATTGAAAACCTGATGTAGTTCGTAATCTCCCGACTAGTCCGTGAAGTCCTTTGTCTTAGAAGGAAAACAACAAAAAACTTTGCGTAGTCATCAATGTGTTAATTGTAGGGTTTTGGATATAGATCAAAGTTGGGTGTAGCGCATGAAAAAATTATGTGAAGAGGATTCTGACTTCGTCCGCTCTAAGCCACCTCACTAGCTGTTTTGGGAATTTTGTTGGTCGGGGGAAGAGCCGCGAAGCGATTTGATGGGCGAATTGGCCAACTAGGACTTCAACTCGGCTGATTTATAAGAACCAATATAGTTTGCCTCACGTGGTCAGAAGGCTTTCTGGATCACTCTCTAGACTCCCAATTTTGCACAAAGCAGTTGACAATTTTTTTCATATACACAATACTAGATTGTTATCTGCTTTTTTGCGTGACTCCGCCCCAGGCCCCACCAAAATGATATCCTTTTTGTTTTTTGCCCCGAAAATGATATCCAGCTTTGTGTCGAGCTCTGCTTCCTCTGAATCCTGACCTGACGACGAGCTGCTTACTTAGCTCAAAGAAGGTAGTACTTAAAAACGGCATCAACCCTTTGAATTTTGAATTTGATCGCAAAAATCGGAGTGCTACTAACTGTCAAGGGAAGCATATTTAGTCGAAGTGGCCTTTTTAAATGAAGCATACCATTTTGGAAGGCTTAAATCGCTGATTTCGAATGCCTTCCTAATCTGCGAGACATTTATGGACGAGGAGTTATGAGCGTTTATTGGAGCGAATAATCGAAAGTGCAAGTGGGACAAGATAGTCGTATTCCTCAGTTTTGATGGAGCAGTGGTAAATAATTACAGAGGATTTCAATCAACCAATACTCTGAGTTGGAAAAAAAATTTCCAACTTGATTGCTTTGTTTAAGGGCTAGTAAGATTTTAGCAAACCAATATATCCTAGATGCACTTCTAAGTTTTGCTTCAATAAATGCTCATGTCTCTGTCTCCTTGTCCACAAACGTTCCGCAGATAAGGAAGCAGATTTGGAATCAACGTTTTATGCTCTTCAATATCGTACACATCTCATCCCAAAAGGCCACTTCAAGTGAATTTGCTTTCCTTGTGAGACCAAGATACTTGTAAATCCTTAACGTGAGCATTTATGTTGCAGGCCACAAATACTGCATAATATAGCAGAAGGTAGTGACGACACTCCTCTTTATTAGCTTTGCAGATCACTCACTACCAAGGACATACGAGGTTACGGACTGAATGTCCGTTCACAATCTTCTTAATTATTGTAGCAGTTTCCTCTCACACCTTTCCTTATCCTATCTCGAATAGCTTTCTCATTCAATAAACTTCAAGTTCTCGATAGCTCCAGAGCTCTTGAGCTCAATGGTTATGACAGCATTCAGACAACATAACAATGATAAATTTTTTACATTATTTCCTACACGATCTGTCTCATTTGAGTGAAATTGAGAAAAACGCACCAGAATGAGAAGAAATTGAGTACTTACGATCGGTGTTGAGTTTGAACAGAATACTATATTACATGTGAATAAATCACCTATAGAATTGAGGAATAGTGGTTTTTGTAACTCCAATGAAAATAATATAAGTATGCATTGTGTAAACTACTCTACCAACTGACACGTACATGCTAAGATATGAACTAACATAAGTGAGATCTCGCACGATAATCAAACGAGTGTGGGACTATATGCCGCCGAAAATGCGTGGTCCCACGCGGACATCTGTGACGAAGTACGCAGCTCCACCAGTTGTACACGTAGAGGATTTGTACCTGCTGTCCGTGCGGGGAGCCTATCGGCAACGTATAGTCCCTACCCTCAAACATCACTATAGTGAATTATTGTACCTAAATATGCTATTTAAAGTAACCTTGGGACTATCGTGCTTCTAGATAAACTGGGTATGTGACTCCGTCTTGAGTTTGCGATGACAGTCGCTCCGTGATGAGACGAACTTCGTGGCCCTAAAATATAATAACTAATAAGCCCGTGTAGACTTTGTTGCAAGTGTGCGTTGAGACTAGCCCTACGACCAGCAACTTCGTGGTCTCGATGTCCTGTCAGCAACGAGTAAAATTGTTAGCTACAGAGTTTAAATTGGCATTAAAAAGGTAACGACAGGACAAGTTCGAGGAAAGTTTCCGTCACCTTTCCTATACTTTGCATTCGCGTGAAGGTTCGTTGAAGGACAAATCATATTTGTCGAAGACCGCCGCAAAAACGCTCAAAGGCAGCGAAGAGAGCAGAATGACCCCTCTGCGCGCTCAACATTTGGTGTTGAAGCGTAGCATTCAAAAACATTTTTCAGTACTACATCTATTCATTTATAATTACGATTATGCTCAAAAAATTACGTTTAATGTCGGCTCAAAGACAGTAACTCGGTATAACAACAGCTCGGAATTTTGGTATAGTAGGTTGCTCATAACTCAAACAGAGCAAGGCAAGCCACAGCATGATGCTCCTGCCAAGAAAACTGCCAAAACCGGGCGCACAAGCCACTCTTAAAGGCAGTATCCAGGCTTGACCTAACCCCCTCCGGTCCGTGTTGATCCTGAATGTAGGCCCCAGAAAAGGGCCATATGCGTTGGTCCGGTCTTCTAATGTTGTCTCTGAAAGGAGATTGGGGGCCTCAAACTCCCTGGCTGGGCGGAGTCTGATATCAGACTCCGCCCAGCCAAGGATGTCTCCAGAACGTATTAACATGGTAGTGAGCAGAAGCTGCACACTGCTGCAACTACCATGCAGTTGCAGCTCCTCCCCGCTGGCCTGCCGACGAGGACGAGCGATTCGAAACTCGTCCGCGCCCTCAAGTCAGGGTCCCCAGGAATCGAGTTTTTTGTGAATTTTGGAGAGTTTGAAGTTCAGAACTGTAATGAAGGCCACGGAAAGGCCCCAGAATGATGAAAACATGGGAGGTCAATTTCTGGGTAAACGCTGCCTTTAAGCCTAGGGCATACTTCCCGCGATTCCGTCTACTCATTGACGCAACTTGGCGCTGTGCCAGACGTTTACTGAATGATCATATGCGGGTTTCAAATGCCTAGGAGCGTAGCTTCCTCAAGCTGTCGCAACACACCAAGTCTGATCCTAGTAAAGCGCACTTACGACCATTTATGAAAGGTCATCATAGTGTCAAATCGCGCAGCAACTAACATCGCGTAAACTTTACCTTAGGCCTTATACGCGCTCGGACAAGCTTGCGACTTTCCTCCCATCTCCATATGCGGCATGCCGCAATGTTATAAGCATAAGGGTTCTACAATGATTCTGCGTTCCCCACGGCGGGAACTGTTTCACGTTGAATTTGAAATAAAGGGCCCTGGAAAATGCTGCTTTTTGGCACTTTCGCGCTCTGTGGTAGATTTTAGGAATCAGCGCTTCGGATTAGCCTATGAGCAAAAACTTTCCAAGTCGAAGAATTGCCGAGCTACTGTCTACAAGCTTCAAATCCATAATTATGTTTGTTTCGCCGATACATTTTGAAGCTGTAGTAAGCGTCGCCCAGCGGAAGCGGCTGGTTACTAACAAGACTACAGTGTTGTGATAGAAGGTTTATTATCTGTCGAATAGGAAACTATAGGAAACGTGAGAGGAGTGGATCTTGGACTTGAGAGGATGAGTGTGTGGTTGATATCGGGGCAACCGCCCCAGGAGAGAGAGTGTCGTTGGGGCTCCTCGCGTGCTCTATGTGACTAGTTATATACCTTAGCGTTATCATAGCACATCATCTCCGAGAATATGGGAATCCCTGTTCTCATAACAAACAAACAATAACATAGGATAATATCCCAAGCAAAGAGCGCACGATAACATTCCAGTACAAAGAGCGCTGCTCTTACACTGTTTGCAATCATTTCCAATCATTATTGAAAGAAGATCTTCGCCTTTTTTCTCTCACTTCAGATTGTGACAGTGTTTAAAGGCAACCTGGTAAGTATGATGATGACGGACGTATATACTACAGCGCACATTCTAGTAAAGCCCTTAAGCAAATGACCGCGCGATTCTAAGCTTTGCCATCGACGCTCTTGTGTGGGAGGACATAGCAAGGCAGAGCACCGTTTAATGTGTAGGCTAGGGTGAGCATATCGCACACGCTTATAATCATAGAGTCTCGCACAGAATCTGCAACTCAACTTTGGCGTACTTCGCCGTTCAAGTTCGATCAAGGCTTGAAGAACAGCCCAATTTCAGCATTTTCGCACTCCCCGAGCTGCATTTTTACAATCATCGAGAAAGATTGACCACGATAAAAGGAGAATTAGAAATTATGTACTGTTTCTGAACGATTCCTGTTGTGATGATATGAAAGTAACTCAAAGTGCAATCAAAATCATCATGACGAATCTTGTTCTACAGTTTTGAGAGTCTACAAATCATAAATGTTGAATATTGCTTCAATGTTTTACGCTGTGTTTACCATTGTTGTCCCACGCTAATGTTGGGCTTCTAAAAGAAGGCTCTTAGACGAATTCGAAACGCACAAGCGTACTATGATCGGCGTCCCGGCATCGCCGCCGACCATGACAGCGACCACGAACTTTTGTAGTTTAGTGATGAAGTTCTTGCGCATTGTCCAGGATGAAGAATTGCTATCAAAGTTCTCC